TGACCTCAGCTAATTCCCTCAGCACTCTGGGGTGGAGATCGTCAGGACCAGCTGATTTAAATACATCCAGTCCCTCCAGAAGTTCCCTGACTAGATCCTCACTGACCATAGGCCTGGATGCGCCTCGCCGGGGCCTGAGGGGGTCCCGGTGCGGGGGGCTGATCTGGTCCCTGCTCAGGAAAATGGAGGCAAAGAAATTGTTAAATAGGTTAGCTTTGTCATCTGGTGTGACAACCAGATTTCCTAGCATGTCTTGCAGGGGCCCCACGTTACCCGGTACCTTCTTTTTGCCCCGTAGGTAGAGGGCTAAAAAGGTGGAGTTTGTCAGTATGCTCCACCTTTTTAGCCCTTTGTATGAATTTAAGGACTCTCAGGGTGCATATATACCATATGGACGCTACTAGTTAAGTTTTCAAACTGAAGTGCATTAATGCCACTAGCTGCTTCTTTATGTTGACAGTGCATTAAAAAAACTCCCAGGTACAGTAAAGTAAGCAAGCTTTCATCTCATTGTTCCATGCTGCACTTACCTATTGTCATCTTTTGACAATAGAAGAATTTAGGGTGAACTTAGCCTGTGAAATTTTGAGTTCTTATTTTTGGTTTATTAATACAAGCTTAATTTCTTTCAAATTCAGATCCTGTCTATGAAGATCTGTTGAGTGAGAGTAGAAAAATGATCACTAATGAGAAAATAGATGCTTTCAATGAAGTGGCAGTCCGTATTCTGAATAGCAGCTCCAGAAATTCTAAAGCTAAAGTTAAAATGTTCAGTGTATCAAAACTGATAGCACAAGAAGCTATCATGAAGTCTTCAGATGGCCTGCATGTTCCCGAATCGAGCAGAGAAATGGTAAGTATTTGTATGGCTAATTAACACAATAGAAGACCAATAATGAAATAAAATTTTAATTGAATGTGCGATACTCTGCCAGGCAGATTATATGAACTTTTTGCTGGATTATCATAATATTAAACATTACTTGCAAGAGTTTCCAGGAAATCTTTTACAGTATTCCAGCAGATGGAACGACATCTAAATACCCAAGGTGTTATGTATGGTGGGGAAGGCTGTAAATACCTGTTAAAAAATGCAACTAGTCCTGTGAGTTAAAACACAGAGCTATAAATTTTGTGCTTTACTCTGCATGAGTGAACTATGACCGTAGTAGTTCAGAGAGCTCCACTCTGGGGTAAATCCTAAAACTAACTTCTTGTGGATCAGCCTTCAAGTAGTTATTCTGTTAAGAATCAGCGAGTGAACCACCCAGATCATTCCTTCATTGCTGGGTTGACATTGCAGACTTTTCCCTCACCCGTCCCCCATCCAATTTCAGTGGGTATGTCTACATGTTCATTAATGCGTTTTTGCTAATGCGCATTAAAGTTAGTATCCCCATTCTGAGCTAGTAGAAAAAGGTGCACATAAATGTATTTTAATGCACAATAGAAAAACTGCCCTTTTTGTGATGCTTTAATACACATTAAACTAGGCTAATATGGATTAACCTATGTAGATGTGCCCACTGGCTACTATTTTGTGCTTTCTCTTGTCTGACTCAGCCCTGAATTCAGGACTTGCTTACTCCCCCTCTTTATGGGGTTTTGTTGTCCTTCAGCTCTCAAATGAAATGAACAGTATTCCAAACTATGCTGGCTCTCAATACCATCTTTTCTTTTCCACTTGGTTTCTTTTACATTTCCACTAAGGATGCATGGATAAAGATTTTATATGGCCAATTATTATCCAGCCATACTAGCCAATACCAATCTGATAGCCAATATGCAGCCTGGCAGTTTCAAGAGCAGCGTCTGGCGGGTAAGTCTTAGGAGGGAAGGGGTATTGCATGGGGCAGATGGAGGCCCCCACAGTGAGGGAGGGAGTTGGGGCAGGGGTAGGTGCTGGAACGGGGTGCTGAGGCAGGGCGCGGGACAGAGCTGCAGGTGGCTTGTCCAGGTGCCACAGGGGATTGGGGAGAGGGTGCAGCTCTTGCCACTGCGCATGCCCTGGGGGAGGCATGGGGGTGCGTGTGACCCCCAGAATTGTGTGCAGGGTGAGGGTGGGCTGCCCACTGTAGCCTCGGGGCCATGGGCTGCACTGGCCTCTTCCTGGTGGGGGAGCTGTGCCAGGGCTGTGCTCGGGGGAGGTGGAGGGTAGGGTAGGCAGTAGCACTAGGAGAGGTAGCTATGGGGTGAGCTACAGCCACCCCAAAATTCACCATAGCCTCCCCTCCCAGTGTTGCTGCCACTGCCTGTCCTACCCTGAGTGCAGCCCCAGCCCAGCCCCCTGGTGGGAAGAGGCCGGCTCCACCCCTGGCCCTGAGCCTGCCGCGGGCAGCCCACCCTTGCCCCACACAAATCCGGGGGGCACATGCCCCCCGATGCCTCCCCCAGGGGTGCACACAGCAGTGGGAGTCTCCACTCCTCTCCACCCCCTTTGCCTCTGGACAAGTTGCCTGTGGCTACATTCCACACCACGCCCCACACTGGCTGGGCAGTGCCTGCCCCTGCCCCAGCCCCACTCCCTTGCTCACTGTGGGGGCCTTGATCTGCTCCCCCCATGCCCCTTCCCTCTCCCACATCCCTTCTCCTCACAGACTTACTAGCCAGATGCTGCTTTCCAAGCTGCCAGGCTGCATTCCTGGCTGTGTGCGTGCTGTGGCTGTGCACATCCATGCAGCATTTATCAGTGACATTATCGGTTACACCAGCCAAAAAAAGCTGATTGCCGATAATGTCAATTTTCCTTTCATCAGTGCCGATCTAATATGAACCAATATACCGGTGCATCTCTATTTTCATTTTTCCAAGTGATAAGATGCAAAGTATTTCCTTGATTTCCCCATTTGGACCAATATCCTTTCTGAACACCCTACCCCACCTTCTATTCATCTTGGTCCTTAATTTTTAGTTCTTCCTGAGACTCCTCTCAGTCCCTATTTTTCTTTGAGAATGCCATGTCCCCAGCATTCCTCCTTGGGGCCTTGTCCTCTTTCACCGGGAGGCACTACAAAAGCTTGCTGTGCTTTATGTTGGCCTGCTTGCAGATTCAGGACTCTACCATTTACTAAACTTTTCCACACTGTTTATAACTTAATTCTGCAAACAACTCAGTTAATTGAGTTGCCTCCAGGTACAGCCATGGGCCTGTTAAGATATGAGGCTTCTATTAACGATTTACCTAGGTGAGGTTTATACAACATGTAAGGAAGGTTGGATGGAATGTGGAAAGCCCTTCCTGGCGACCGTCCTTTGTGTACGCACAACATGGGCAGAGTTTATGTGGTTCAGTGCCAGACCAAGAGAAGCAGGAGTGAGCTGTTGGGCCTATTGGTATGCAGATCAATCAGCTGATTATGTTTTACATGCCTACGGTTGATGCAAGAGTTTCTGCAATCTTGAGCCTGTATTAATGGTTGCAGGGCATCCTTGCTGCCGATCTGCAACTTGTGGTAGAAAAATTGCTTTCCATCTTGAATGGTTCCTCCACAACAGAGCTTCCTAGATCTGCCTATTTTGATTGTGTTCAGCACCCATGATTTGGTTCTTGTTGTTCATCCAAAATTAATAAGAAAAATTTAACCTTTATATTTAAATTGAGACAAGACAGGTTGTTTTCTTGCTGTCTCTATGAATGTAACTAGATACATGTAGACATTATAAATTGTTTAAATATAAAATATGAGGGAAATGCATGTTATTCCTTGTCAATATGTAATATAATTCAAGATAATATTTGTTTGAGAATAATAATTGCAACCAAAGACTGATAGCCAAAGATGCTCGTGTCTTTGACAGAACGCAATGATTCTTATGAACGTCTGGTGTAACAAGATTATGAAGCCTATTGACGGTTCCTGCTGCCAGCCCCAGCCTCCCCTCACTCTGATACAGAAGCTAGCATTTTTCTTTTTTACTTTATCAATTATTGGATATTTAATTCTCAACTTAATTCATCGTAATAATCATCGGAAGAACAAACCATGCACCGATTTGGAAAGTGGAGAGGAGAAAAAACCTGCTATCAGTACACCTATTTCTACTCTAGAGCTGCTTTTACAGTCCTTCTGCAAGTTGGGTCTAATCATGGCCTATTTCTATCTTTGTGACAGAGCAAATCTATTCATGAAGGAAAATAAATTTTATACACACTCCTTTTTCTTCATACCCATCATCTACATCTTGGTTTTGGGGGTTTTTTATACTGAAAGCACCAAAGAGGTAAAGATCATGCTGGTATCACTTCCTGTGTAATTTCTCAGTTTATGATTGTAATTGAATTATATTTTTAAATTGCTAACTGATTTAAAAGTCATATTTTCTAAAATAGATATAGCTGCTGCACTTACATAGCTGCTGCATGTGGTAATTGAGTATTTTATGCACAATCTGGTGGTTAGATATGATTGGCTTTTTCATATAAGAGTGCTGACATGCATTCTTGTTGATGAAGCTGTTAATAAAGCTCATTCATCCACTGATGCCAATGAATCAGTTGTGTGTAGTGGAGTAGAGTAGCCACCAGTAAAGTAATGCCACTTACTTAGAAGGTTTTTTTTTTTAATACTTATATCAGTCTGCCCTTAAAGTGGTTTATTGTTTTGAATTTTTTCTCCTCGTTTTGTAGATGTTCGTTGTACTTGTTGGAATAGCAACACTCTTGTTTTGTTTTGCATAGACTAAGGTGTTAAATAGACAACAGACAGATGAATGGAAAGGCTGGATGCAGCTTGTTATTTTGATTTATCATATCTCTGGAGCAAGCACTGTAAGTGATTGAATTTCATTTTTTTTTTTATAATATATCATTTGGCGTCAATGCTTTGAAGGAAAATATGTTTCTGCCATTTAACTTCAAGAAACTCAAGTTCAAATATGTTAACATATTGACACTTTACCCCTTTATAATCTTTTAGGGTTCTGAAAGCTTTCAAAGATGCCATTTTTTGAGAATTTGTTTTTTGGTGATGCCATTTTGCATCATACATTTGGCAAAGAGAAGTGATTTGATTTCTTTTTTTCTTTCCCTTGATGCAGTTTATCCTTTGACCTTGTCTCTCTCAGGTAATAAAATCTGAATACATTTCAGGAAGTATGGAAAGAGAACTGCAGGGAAGTAATAGTAAATGGGGCATAATGTTTCTTAGTAAGTAGGTGTAAAGTGACATACAACTTCATGAAACGAGAGCAAGTCTAAAATACAGACAAAGCTTTTCCCGTTAGGCCCCAATTTACTTAGAGTTGACAACATAGACAAAAAAGAATTTCTGTGGGTCTGTGTAAAGAGTAAATTATTTTTCTCAACAGTTTTTGCCTGTGTACATGCACATTCGAGTTCTGGTTGCTGCATATCTATTCCAAACAGGTTATGGGCATTTCTCATACTTTTGGGTAAAAGGAGACTTTGGAGTATACAGAGTGTTTCAGGTAGGAATAAATCATTCTTACTGTTTTTATACAGAAATATGCCTGCTTACCAAAAAATGAGATCATAATAATTTTAGAGGGGGTTCACAAAACCAGCCTGATCATTGTTCTTACCTAATCTGATTTGTTTAATCTGCTCAGATTACTGAAACTTGTACTGAGAAAATAGGTGACCCACTTAAATGCATCAGAGAAATAATAATGATTTAATGATTTCCTTTATTCCTGTTGTTATTTTTCACCTGGAATTGTATTACAGTATCTAGTAATAAAGATAAACTAATGATGAAAGGACAAGGCTGGCACACAAGGGTCTTACCTAAATTAGCTGATTTAGATCTTCAGGTTTTTTTTTTTTAGTCCAATTTTCCCTTGTCGATCTGTTTAATGGTGGGTATTCTGGTTTAAAGGCTGCTAAAGTAGTTCTTACTGAATTTCTTTTATACAAATAGGTAAAACATTTGGCAAATCCAGATTGCTATTGCCTTGAAATGAAATCAATTTTTTCTCACTATAAAAAGTTTTTTAAAAGAGTAATTGCATTTAGTAGTCCAGCATAGTAGATTAGTTGTTTCCAAAACTGCAGATCCTAATTTGGAAAGACGAAAACATTGTCATCTCTGGCTTGAATTTCAACCATTTTCATTCACTTAAGCTATAAAAGTTTTGGGATTTTGCATACGTGCTGGACCTATGTCTCTCACTGCTAGTAAAATTAAGAAGCTATTGAGTGGTTACTTGTAGTCATTAATGCTTTCTAAAGGCTGGTAGAGTATTTGTCTTCCTTCAACTGGAAAGGAAATAAAGACTTCTTCTCTAACACTGATATCCTTGTCATCTTATCTCCAGCTTGTTTCTGAGCAAGAGCAGACTGGAAGAGGAGGTGGTGCTGGGAAATCTCTGGCTTCCCTTTGCTGTCTGAAGCCTTTTTGTTATAAGCAGTTCAATTCAGAAAATACAATTAGTGCCTAAATGACACATTTTTGTCACGATTAGACTTGTAGTCAGTCATTTCATACCTAGACTTAAATGAATGACGCCTTACCCAGGGCTAAGTATTCCATTAGTTTCCCTGTCTCCCTCCAAAAAGTTGGATTTTTAGGTAAATGGAGATGTTCACAGAAAGTATTGGTTTCCTTAAATTAATTTTCTTTCATCTGAAAAAAACGGACTTTTTTCATTTTTGGTCAGAAAGATTTTTGACTTTCAGGCTCTAACTTCTCTGGTAAAAAGATGAAGGTTTTCAAGAACAGGAATTTTTTTCCCACCAGCTCTACTGATTATTCTTTTAAAAAAGAAAGACTCTTGATTCAGTTTGCTCAGAAGCCAACTGCTCCATTATAAAGAGGACTAGACAAAGCATTTTCTTGTAGCAACTAGGGGAATCCACCAGGGAGTAAACTATAAATTAAAAATGTGACTGGTTTACCACTTTGACATCAAATATTGCCTTGGTTCAAACCACCACTGACCATCACTCTGCTGTACCTCGCTGCTGTATAACCCACAGTTTGAACAGTTCATTTAGTATGTGTCCATACTGTAGTCAAAAGTGCTGTTGCAGCAAAAGTGGGTGTCCTATGCTAGCTTTAACTTGGCTAGTTCAGATAACAAAAGTGAAAATGTAAGCCTGAAAGACTTACACAGTCTCCACTGAAGTCCATGCCATCTCATTTTCAGTAATTGATACTGAAGTTAGCTAGGTTAACACCAGGATGGGTATACCTACTGATACGTCTGACTCCTTTAGACTCCTATCAGAATTTCAACAAGAGTAATATTGTTGGTGTTTAATGGTTTATAATGCATATAATGTTACAATAAAATTGTTTTTTTTCTCTTAATCCTACATAAAGAAAAACGTTTTCTCCCCGACAGGTTTTATTTCGTCTCAATTTCTTGGTTGTGGTGTTATGCATAGTGATGGATCGACCCTACCAGTTCTATTACTTTGTTCCACTTGTCACTGTCTGGTTTATGATCATCTATGTTACATTAGTAGTATGGCCTCAGATAGTCCAGAAGAAAGCAAACGGTAAAATAAATATTGTTCTTTTCCTTGTGTTATAAATATATTTATATCCTAATATAATCAATTATTCAGATGCAAAACTTTGTCACAGGGTTTTAGTCTTGATTTGGCTATTTGAATAATAGAACTGAATTTTTAAATATGCTGAAGTCACCAGACATAGCACTTGGAAGGATACATTTCATTTGATATGTTTTAGTGAAAACTATGACACATGGTAATTGAGCTTTCTTGTTGGAATATACATTATAACTTTCAAAAGTTGAGAAATATATCTGAACTCTCTTAAATAATTGCTGAATGCATTTAAAATTTGCTCATAATTTTTTTTTAAATACCAGTGCTTCTTGAAAGTGTATTTAGTGTATTTTTCAACCTTTCAAACTGAATTCACTGTCCTATAAACATGCTTTTTCCACAAAAAAGGTACAGTATAAAGAGTGCTTTTACAAATTTCTGCCATTCTGTCCTACTAGGGTACCTCAGCTGTTTTTTTGAGGACCAGTTCTCTTGTGTCTGGCTGAGGATGGATTCCATATTATTGCTGTTTCAATCTCAGTCTTTTAGACACTGCCAAGGGTGATTCTAGATAAGGGATGCTATGCTCATCTGGCCCCAGGGGATGGATGAGTATTGCTGAGCTGGTCTGTGGGCTGGATCAGAACCGACTTCTTTGTGCTGCATGCAGCATCTGTAGGCTGCACACTGAACACGTGTGCCAGTTCCTCTCCATGTGCTGCATGTCATGCAGGCTGGACCCAGTGTTGCATGCAGTGCCCCACCAGACTAGCCCTGTGTGTTGGCTGTGTAGGCTGTCTGGATTGGGACCCAGACTGTCGGTGCATGCTGGAGCCAGTGCTGGATCAACTCCCTGTGCTGCATGAAGCACTGGGTCCAGCTCATGCACCACATGCACTTCAAGCCCCATGATGGCTCCATGTGCCATGTATGTGGCCAGCCCTGGGGCCAGCACATGCTGCAAGTGGCATGGAGGCTTGGACCAGCCATGAGCACTGGAAGTGAAACAGGGGGTCAGTCTGGGGTGTGTCTTGTATCCAGTGCCCTGCCAAACTGGCCCTGTGCACTGGTTCTGGTAGGGTTTGACCCAGAATTCAGGGTTAGTCTGGTGAATGATGTCATTGCACAGCCACTGGCAAGAATATTTGAGCA